AGCAAATATATATATTGCAAAGGAAGGAAAATGTATTAGAAAACAGAGGGGCTTACAAATCTGAGATAAGGAGCCTCAAGGAGGCCTCCCTTCAGCAAGGGGGGGGGGGGGGGGGGGGTAGAAGAAATAAAAGCACCATCATCATTGCTTGCCATTCTAGCTAGCCAATTAGCAGGCCTATTACCTTCTTTATAGTTAAAAGCAAAGGACAAATGACAAGAATTCCTGAAAGATTTGACAATTTTCAGCGATTGGAGGATATGTCGGGGGTGCGGGCGGGGCGAGCTAACATCAACAACACTCTGAATGAGAAATGCAGAATCAGTTTAAACAAGAATGTGTTCCCACTTCATGTTGACAACTATATAGATTGCCCAACAAACAACAATAGCTTCAATTTCAAGAACAACATGAGCAATCATTGGACTGTAGAAAAATAGTTGACAAGTCCCAGTAAAATATCTGAAGACACCACCAATGCCAGCCCCAGTTCTAGTGAAACTAACATCAATATTAACTTTGATACAAGCGTTACGGGCCTTTCTCCAAAACACATTAGAAACTGTAAGGAAGTTGGGAAGGGGGAATCCATTAATACTGCGTATTATAGGAAAACCCTTATACTTGATCAATTTGCCAATGAAAGCTTTGCAGTTGACAATAGTGAGAGAGAAGGTCTTCAAAATTTTCCTTGTTTCTAGGACCTTCAAAATTTTCCTTGTTTATTGCCATCCAAAGGAATCAAGAAACAATAAAAGGAACAACTTTAAGCTTTACTTGGTACCACCCCTTCCAACAGGATTGAAGGGTGAGCCAGTCCAAGGACATCAGGTTCACCCCTAAGTTCATGGTGAGGTCCCTCTAGACATTGTGAGCATAATTACATTCAAAGAAAATGTGTGGAAGAGATTCTTCAACATTGAGACATAGATGACATCTAGAAGGTCCTCTCAGGCCTTTCAATTTAAGGAAATCATCAACATGAAATAGCTTACGAAAGGTTCCCCAAAAGAAAGAAGACATAGATGGAGTTAGGAACTTATTCCAGATGGACTTCCCCCAAGGAACAGTCTTCCTACTAAATAGTTTAGAATAAATGACTTCGGATAAGGTCTGCATTCTGCAAGAGTTCATTACCAGCCTGTCTCATTGGTTTCTATTGAAAGGTACTGTAGATATACAAGCAACAACAATTGGATTCAACAGAGATCGAAGGGTCTCCTCACACCAGGAATCTCCATTCCAGCAGTCAACCACCAAAAGATTTAGATAAAAAATAGTTGGTCTGGGCAATAATAGATCCTAGGGACACCACTGATCCAGCCAGAAGTGCACTCTACCATTTCTCAGGTCCCACAAGTATAATCTCTCTACCTGCTGCCTAAACTTTAACAACTGGACCCAAATTCTTGAATCCCCCAACTTCGTGTTGATCAGGTTGGGATGAAAGTGTTTGCAATATTTTCTCATCATAAATTTTGCCCAAAGAGAGTCCTGCTGCCTAAATTTCATCCATAATTTAAACGTATTCACCTGTTGGAGTTGCTACAGTCTTTTGAAACCCAAACCCCAACCAAGGTTGGTTTAATTGCCTTTTACCAAATAGCCCAATGCAATTGCTGTCTTTGGCCTGACCAAAGAAACCTGTCAAAGCTTCTTTCTAACTGAAGTTGGGTGGATTTCTTCATGGTAGTGACTTAAAGAATGTATCATGGTAGTGACATGAAGAATGTAAGAAGGGAAGGAGGTTAAGATGTTCTTTAAGAGTGTAATTCTACCACCATTTAATAAAAAAATAATTTGTCCAACAGTTGAGTTGTGTATTGATTTTGGCTAGGACTTCAAACCGCATCATCTTTGATCATCCTTTGATAAGTGGCACCCCGAGATACTTGAAAGGGGGAGAGGATGTTGAAAAACCAATAAATTGGGAGATCTAATGTTTGACTGCAGTATTAGTTTTCTTACTAAAAATTAGTTGGGATTTAGAAGTGTTGAAAGTCATATCAGAGACTTCTTGGAATTATTAATGTCATTTTTGAATTAGCTTGACAACATTCTTATTAGCTTTGGAAAATCGGATAATATCATCAACATATATTAGGTGAGTGAACTCTACATTAGATTTATGATGAAATCTAGCATAAGTCTTCAGCAGCATGGCTTTATGTAAGAGTCTTGAGAGATAGTCCATAACTAGAATAAAAATGGAGGGAGAGAGAGGATCTCCATGTTGTACTCCTCTTCTGGCTGAGAAGAAACCATGTGATTGTCCATTTAGCAGAATTGAGTGTGCATTAAACTGCAACCATCTAGAACAGAGGGTTAAAAACTTCCTGGGAGGGACCCCTTGCTTTAAGGATGTCTAAAATGAAGGACCAATTGATAGTATCATATGCCTTTTTAAGATCCAGCTTATAGATGAGATCCCCCCTATAGGGATGATCAATATCTAAGAATAGCTCTTGTGCAAGTAGTACATTATCAACTTTATACCTACCTTTTATAAAGCAGTTTAGTTAGGCTTTATGAGATGGATTAAGTGAGGCTGAAGCCTAGCAAAAAAAAAATTACGAACTATCTTGCACAACACATAGATGAGGATAATTGGTCTAAACTGGTTCCAAGTACTGCACTCAGTGGATTTGGGGATGACAACATAACTGGAAGAACATAAATAATTGGGCTAAGGGGTCCCCAGAAAGAAGCTCTGGATGGCGGCAATAACATCTCCTTTTACAATAGGCTAGGCTTTTTTATAAAATGCAGAAGTGTAACCATCCGGACCAACCACTTTAGAACTATCAATACTGCTTAAAGCTCTCCACATTTCAGTTTTTGAGGGAGTATGAGTAAGTTGGAGCTCCCTAGTGTAGTTCTGATCCTCTTGGAAAAGCTGCAGATCCACAGGAATAGAGACAGTGGGAGGATCAAAAAGAAGTTCTTTAAGAAAAGTTACAGCATTTCTAGCAATGCCCCCATAATTAGTGATCCAATTTCCATCAAAATTTTGAATTCTGTGAATAGTATTGCACTTTCTTCTATATTTGATCATGCATGGTAGTATTTAGTGTTTCTATCTCCCCCAAAAAATATGCTCACAACAGCCTTTTGTCTCAGAAATAATTCCAACCAATCAGTAGCAATTAACACTTTCTCAGTGCCATCCATAAGAGAGGATTCATCCACATGACCATTCTCCACAACAGCTTCAAGAGAGGCCAAATTCTTTTCAGCTTGTTCAACATTTTCATAAACATTTCCAAAGGTGGTCCAATTCCATTGCATGAGAGCTTTTGCCACAGATTTTTGAAGATGGCACAACTTAATAAGGGGGTTGGGATGATGAAAACCTCTCGAATGTTCTTTAATGAAATTTAGAAAGTTTGGGTGTTCAACCCACATATTTTGGAATATGAATGGGGTTGGACCTGTAGGAGGGCTGACAGTAATAGAGACCATCAAAAGTCTATGATCTGAGCCTACTAAGGAAAGATGTGAAACATAAGTGTGCAGAAAAAATTGAAACCAGTAATTATTAGCCAGGAATCTATCCAACCTTTCCCATATCAACTCTCTTCTCCAAGTGAATGTGGGCCCCTGGAAACCAAGATGAAACAGTTTTACAGATTGGATATTATCACAAAATTCAGTAAATTTGTAAAGTTTGGGAGGTCTCCCACCTCTTTTCTCAGAGGTAGCAACCACACAATTGAAGTCTCCCCCCACTAGCCAAGGAGAAGACATTGAACTTCCAATATTATGAAGGCCATTCCAGAGATCTCTACGTGCGGCCTTATTGCAACCAGCATAAAAAAATGTTGCAAACCCATCCTTGCCAGCAATGTCAAACTAAAAGTGAACAAACTGAGGGTCATCTATCAGGATCGACCAAGTGATTTCATATATGCACAAAATTCAAATCTTGTTATTAATGTTGGAAAAGTGTGAGAAGCCATGGAGCTATTTAATTACTTTTTGGGGATATTTATAAACCATTGGTTTTAGAAGAGCTATACGCCAAAGTTTGTGTTTTTTGTTAACGTGGAGGAGTCTTTTTAGGGAGAGTGGATGAACCACTCCTCTTATATTTCAACAAAGGAAGTTAATCATGATGGTATGGTTTAGCTCTCCACCCATATTAGTTAAATTATTTCGAACCATAATAAATCGAGCACGAATGAATAAATTTTTGTTCATGTCCAGCTCATTTATATATTGAGGGAAAAAAAAAATTTTACTGAACTGGTCAATTTAGTGGATTAAAACAACTTTAATTTTTTTAACGAGTACAAACTGTTTCCGAAGGAGCGATTTTAACTGCTCTACTCCCTAGTTCCTACTTCCATTCAAATTACCAAAACGTCCCAGCCACATAACCGGCCAAACGTGGGCTATCCTCTCCACGCTAATACTTCGCGACCTAGGCAAACGAGGGACGGTATAGCTTTTCAAAAAACTGATCTAAGAATGATGAAAGCCAGAACGATGGCTGCTTCTTCCTCCACGCCATCTCTCCTCGTTCCTCCGCTCATTACCCGACATAAAAGGCCTCTTTATTCTATTGTGGAGTTTAAATGCAGTCCTCGCATCATCGGCCATCGAGGGTTTCAGGCAAGCGCCACTACAGTTGCCACAAAGCTGGTACATTGATTTAATATCTAGGTTTTTCATTTCTGTGTAAAGATTAGATAATGGAAGCTTTATTGGAAACTCAATTTCGTATGTCACTACTAATTAAAGGAACATCATGTGGTCGTAGATGAGCTAACCACCCCTTGCTTCGGAGATTTATATATCGGTTGGGTTGTTAGCCAGCGAGTGTATATTATTCTTTGGTAATGGGTCTGTTCTCATCTGCGACTAGCTGTTTCCTGGATAATGATTTGTGGATGAAGTTAGTCTGAATTTGTATTCGGTAACGTGATTTGTAGAGACATAAGTTGATTTGTAGAGAGTCTTGGTACAAAAGCAGGTCTTACGATGTTGAACCTTGATCATTGAAAGCATAGAAAGCTCGAAATATGTCTGATTACGTAGATATTTTTTCCATATAAATAATTTCTGATCTCCGTACTGTCCTCTCATTGTTTTGGTGTAGTGTGCCTTATAGTTTTTTGCACTTAGGACCGGTTTAATTGAATACGAAAATGGGGGAGGTGAGGGAAGTAGAGCATTTCTTCTGCTCGGTTGATGGGGCAGTGGTAAGGGTTTCATTAGTGGTTTGTAAGATTTTTAGTTTTGATTTCATGCCCTTAAGTTTGCTACTGATTTCTATAAACCATTTAATGTGATGCTTTCAACTGCAGACTAAGTTAGACGTCACCTAAACATGCCACCGACAAATGCACACAAGCATATGTAATATTAATTTTTTTATAATTCATTCATATATAATGTAAAATTATATGCTTAGCATGATAGCTAATGCATTATTTATACACTTATACCATAAATTCAGGTTTACAATATGTGATATACTAGATAGTATATCTTTAGTAATTTCTTATTTGTATTGTATCTTTTTGATATATTGTAGTAATTTTTATATAAAATTTTATGTATATATAAACATATATTATTACAATGCAAGGATATGCAATATTTTAATAATTTATAATAGTATGATGCATTAATAATATTATAATAATTTTTAATTTATATCATCAAAGTACTTGAGATGCATGTATACAGTTAGGATTATTCATGTATGCATATGTGAATATATACATTGTACGAACAAGTATTTCTTATTTTTTTATAATTTATCACAGTATGATCAACAAATTATTACGTTAAACAAATTTCTGAAAAAAAAGGAAGCTGCATGAATAAGTTAATTAGATAATATTATTGTCAAAGAATTACGAACAAAAAGTGGCAAGTAACATGTGAAGAATTTGTGAAAAGAAAATATGAAATAAATTTTACACATCATGCAACACAAATAGAATGAATGGATAATAAGGGTTTATGAAGTTTATCCTAAAGAGTTGAGAACAAAGTTATAAATGATGTTGAGACCGTTTAATAAATTTTAGCTATTTATATTTGTTTATATGTAGTGTGCATACACACTTTTTCTCTTTCTTGGAGAAGAATGATTTTCATCATCCCATTTAAACTTCGATGTTTTGCCTTAAAATAAAAAATATTTTAATATTATCCACTCTTTGACATCAAGAAAATTATTTCAGTATTTTTAATTTTGATCATTGATCGAATGGATTTAAGATTTCTGAATGGATAGTGTTGGTTACATGCAAATATAACTGAGAATTTAAATATGAATGTTTTTCGAATATCGTATAATTTAACGTCCAAATTTATATGAAATGAAAAGTGCATTTGCTTGTTTTGATTGTCAAAAATGCATTTTATGTGGGCTAATATAATCAGTATAATACTCTTTTTTTCTTTTAAAATTCTCTCTCTCTCTCTCTCTCTCACACACACACACACACACATACATATATACATGCATGCATACATATATATAATGATTATTGGGCCTTCCATATCCATTCCAACCAACTAATAGAAAGTATTAGGTGTCTTTGACTTGTTGAACTATTAAGCATTCTCTTAGAAGTAGTTTCCTCAACTTCCATTTCAAGAAGTGAGAAGTACCACTTCCTATCACTTATGGGTAACCAAGTTGGTCTGTAGTTATTTTACTATGTAGCTGCAGGATCACAGTTTTTTTTTTCATATGCCGGAGGTATATATTTGTTTTTATGAGAATTTGCATGCATATTCCTATGTCATTTGAGACCCGGGAAACTTGTTAGTTGAAATCAAAATGATGGGATAAATCTAATGAGAACGGATGGCCTAAATCTATGTCTTTTTGTGTTAGAATTTCAACAAAAACCTAACTTTAATAGTTTCTATCTTTGGAACGAGTGTGGTGTAATCATTTTAAATGTAATATTAGGCCATCATATCTTGGGTTGGGTCAACAGTACAACACTAGAAAATCTCTTTTTCTGTCATTTAATAATGGTGAAAATATACTATTTTGAAAGATGCAAGAAAAAGTGAAACTCTTGGTGATGCTGTGCTTCTTATTTACTTGGACCGGTTTGGTCTAGGATTATTGAAGGTCGCCCGAATCTATAGTTTTTGGAGTGCTGCCTCTTTTTATGAATGGGCCCACTCTTAATTATCTAGGAATATATATTTTTTTCTTTTTGGTGTTTAGGGTTTAGTTTTTTCTTTGATTTTCTTTGGGACAGCCGTAGTCATCTCCTTCTCCTTTTATAGGATGTATCCTAAGATTTCATGTGGTGGGCTGGCTCTATCTTGGTCTCCTGGTGGATACTTTCTTGCATCACTCCCACATCTTTTTCATTCTTTGTCTGCTGCCGCAGCTCAAAAAATGATAAACTTCTCGTTTTCTGCATCCAATCTGCTGTTGCTATCAAAGGATATCAGTTGTCTCGCTTTCCTCCCCTTCCAACTTGCTATCCACCTTATTGACACCACTCAAAAGGCCTAAACCCCTAACCGACACCAATTACACTTTATTCTCTAGTATATGCCATTGTTATTTGTTTTCAATTTGTTATATTTTCAATTTTGGTTTCAATAAAATTACTAGTGGTTGTGTTGTGTTTTTCCTTACCTTATTTCTGTATCAATTTCAGTATGATTTGGTATTATAGCTAGCCTAATCCGAGCGCCATACGAGGGTTACCAAAACCCACTAATATCAAATCTAAGCTTTGCTGAAAACCCGTCCTTATTGCTAATTTTTTCTGCCTACGCTAAACCACCCACATACACTTTTTTTCCACCCCGGTCCTAAACCCTAACCATGCCAATGTGGTAACAAGTACTACATACCGATAGGGATCTCACCATAGAGAAGCTATAAGAGAAAATTCGTCGACTTCAGCAAAGGCTTGCTGAATTTGAGGATGGGACCAATTGTGATATCACAATTGATCATGATAGTGATACTTATAGAGGGGAGTGGTATAATCAAAATCCTTTTCATAGATATGATTCCGGTGGAGAGGTGGATAAGCCATGGCGCGTTGACTCCAATGTTTGGGGAGATCGAGGGATGGAGTAGCTTTTGGAGTACATAGAGATATGGGAGTAAATGTAGTTAGATTTGAGGAGAGAATGAATCCAGATGACTTCATTGATGGTTGCATACTGTTGAAAGGGTATTTGAGTTTAAGGAGGTGACAGCTGTTAGTTGAGTGAAATATGCTGCCATAAAATTGATGAAGAGTGTCTTGCTGTGGTGGGAGAAACTGAAGAGGGTGAGAGAAAGAGAAGCTAGGAGAAAGATTATACATGGGAGAAGATGAAGAAGGAGATGCATAAAAATACTTACCCTCACACTACTGTCAGAACATATTCTTAAAGCTCCATCGCCTACAACAAAGAGAGTTATCGGTGGAGTAGTTTGAGCAACTCATCTTGAAATGTAAGTTGACAGAGTCAGAGGAGCATGCTATAGCCAGATATTAGGCTTGAAGCCAACCATCAATAATATTGTCCAACCACAACCTTATTGGTCTTTGGGTCAAACTTTAGTACTTAAGGTGGAGAGATAGCAGAGGTGGAGTAGGCACCCACCTTTATTTAGATAACCACACACGACTGGAGGTATTAATAGGAGCACATCTAGGCTAGGTATGAAGATTGAACAGAGGGATGGCAGAGCTGATTAAAGTGGGAAAAATGTCTGAAAAGAGTGGCACATGCCGCACAATTTCAGCCAGGAAGTTTTTCTGATGTCTTGGATATGGACACATTTCCTACGGTTGCCCTATTAGCATAGGTGTTTCTTTCATCGAGTAGGGTGCATTGGAGGAAGTGAGTGAGGAGGAAGTGGAAGAAGAGCAGGGTGAGGAGTATCAGCTCTATGGAGATGCGGGTGAGATGTTTGTTGTGAGTATGGCTATGTAGGCTAAACCATAGAGGGATCATTATTGGTTGAGACATAACATCTTTCGTTCTAGATGTATGATGAGAGGGAAGTTATGTAGCCGTATTATTCATTGAAAGAATTGTGAAAATGTTGCCTCTACTCTTATAGTGAATGTTTCAGTTCTTTTGTAATTCGAAGTCGCCAACCTTTCTAGTAATCTCTTTAGGATTTCCTTTTCCAATAGACCCCTCTTACTTGAATAGTAGGAACAATTTAGAGTACAGAAGGGATCAAAAAAGAAGGAATGAAGACAAGGATTAGCTTTCAAAGCTCTCACTAAACCACATGACAGAGAGTGGATCTCTCACATCCCAATTGAGTAGTGGCTCATCGACACACGAGCCCCATGAAGTATCATAGTAGACTCGTAGAATCCGTATTATGCTTCTAAAGCCAAATCAGACCATAAGGATAAATGGTGAATCACCGTATCCCAAATGTGAGGTAGGTGTGTGAAGACAAATCCAATTGCAGACAATTTTAAATATGCCGGTTATGAACTTACAGGATGCTATGCCAGCATGCAAGTTGAAAGTATAAGTGCAAACCACCTATGTTGTGGTGCAAAGTGACATAAGGATGGTACAAAGCAAATGCAAGTAGTGTCCTCGTGGGAGAAATGAATACTCGTCATGAACATATGAGGGTGTAAGGCTCGCAAGTGCACGACAGTGTGCAAGTGTGGATGTGCTCG